GCCTGATTTGCCTCTCAGCTGGAACATTGCTCTTTGCACGCCTTTGGCCTTGAACTGTGACATTGGTTCTTACTGGGTCTCAAGCCCACAGACATTCAGATAGAAACAACGTCCTTGGCTCCCCTGGCTGTAGGGCCTTTTAGCTTGGACTGGAAATGTGCACTGGGCTCTCCTGGGTCTCCAGCTGGCCAAATGCAGATTTTAAGACTTGTTGCCTCCATAACTCTGTGAGCCAATTCCTTATAATTCACCTCTCTCTCTTTCTAAACATCCATTTAGCTCTGTCTCTCAAGAGACCTTGACTAATGCACTGTTCTGCTATGAACTATTCCACTATACTCAGCAATGTCTGTGTGCAATGCACATTGGATCCTTAAGTACTTATTTTTGAGGACCTCTTAGTTATAGCAAAAGATTACAAAGAAATAAGGTAATTCTTGCCCAAAAATTACAGTCCAGTGTCCCTTTACCTTACCCTCCATGCTGGAAATATTGGCATCCAGTAGAAGATGTTTTCCGTGGAAAACTGAGCCATGTCCTGTGTCTTGCAGAGGTGGAGTCCTCTGCTTGGTAGAATGTGAGCTACTAAATAGACAGGGAAACCTCTCCTCCATCCTGAAAGCCTATGGCTTGAGTTTGACTCTCATCTCATTCCCATTTCTGTTTATGTGACCGTGGGCAAATTCATTTTTGTACATTGTGTTAGGATGTAAAATAGAAGTAAAAACAGCACCTGTCTTCTAGATTTTTTGTTAGATAAAAGAGGATATTTCAAACAACTTAGAACAGTGCCTGCCACTTACCATGTATCCTCAAATCAAACATGTCAACTGTTTTAAGATGCTTCACTATTGTGTATAGTACTAAAAAAGGAAAAGTAATGCCAAGTGTTAGGTGCTATTAGTTGTACCCCATACTGGTGTTTTATTTTTTGTTTGATTTTTGTCTTTTTGAGACAGGGTTTCACTACGTAATTCAGTCTGGCCTCAAACTCACTTTGTAGCTGGCCTCAAACTTGCAGTGATCCTCCTGCCTCAGCCTCCCAAGTGCTGGGATTACAGGCACGCACCACCACGCCCAGCCCAACTGGTGTTTTAAAAGATCAACAAAATATGTGTCTTAAAATCAATATAATGGTACAGTGGTTTGTGGCATATAAATAAAATTCTGAGCCAGGCAAACTGATTATTCAGTGTGGTCACAAGCAGTCTTAAGTTGGAATAGAAAAATAAATCCATTTCCATTTGTAGGTGGTTATTTAAGTTGCTAGCAACAGCGTTCCAAGCAAATTGTATTGGCCCTGAATGTCCAAATTACTTCTTGAGTATTCTAAGAAGTGAATAAAGTATATTTATTTCATTTTTCTTAATGAAGCTTAGAGCTGCTTTCATTACAGACTCTGTAGGGTCGTTTAATAATCTACTTAGGCATGACCTTTGCGATGGTCAGATGTTTGTGTCCTCTTTGTATTTATACACTGAGGCTCTGACTTTGAATACGATTGTGTTTGAACCCAGGCCAATAAGAAGGTGAGAAGGGTGGGTCCTAATCTCACAGGGCTGGTACCTTTATATGAGGAGGACAAATCACTGTAATGCTTCTGCCCTCATGCTAGAAGGTGACTGTCTACAGGCCAGCGAGAGTCCTTACCAGTGACTGAGTCAGCTGACACCTTGGCTCTGGATTTGCAGTTCTCAGAACTTGAGAAAAAAATGTCGTCAAAGCCTCCCAGTCTGTGGTGTTCAGTTTTGGCAGCCTGGGCAGATGGACTCAGCAGCCCAGGCGAAGGGCAGACACTGCATTCATTCTGTCCCTCTGCAGGGCCCGTCATTAGCAGTCAGGGAATGGTCAACCTGAAGTGCTGACTTGCAATTTGGAAAACCAAAAGCAGGATTTTCCCACCACTCCTGGCCATCATCAATTTCTTGCTTGCTCACTGCTAAGGTCTTACCCTTTTCTGACATTAACTTTAGTTTTATTTTTATAACTGTATACAATTTCCCATGGGAGGTCAACGATCTTTTTATGAACATCTAATTTGGTTTAGAGTTCATCACTTAATACTCATTCTTTCTTCAGTTAGTAGATGGAAAAGTTCTCACTAGTTGTTTGATTTACTGGGCCCTGGTTCCACCTCTTTGCATTTTACAAGTGAAATTTTACCTTCATCTTTGTTCTCACTAGCAGTTGACTTTTGTTTTGGCCAACATTTAAGGTGCCTTGTTCATAGCACAATATAGGCATGTATAGAGTGCCATGATGATCCAGTAATTTGTACAATTAGTATACATCAGTAATTATAGGGAAAAAGAAATTAAACAGAAATATGGAAAAACGATAATAGGAGGGGAAGCATCGAATAAAATGCAGGTTATTTTTCAGCAAGCTTGTCTTTATGGATAAAATATCTGTGTTATGGAATACTTTGAAACTGGCTTTATTTTGAAGCACATACACTGACAGAAACCAAGCAAAATATTACCCATGGAAATTCTTGGGGCAATTTCTTAATGGGTAGATGAGATTGCTTACAATTCACATAGCAATTTGTATGTAAATGGACGTATCTGCATCTCATGAGCATTTTGAGGACACTTGAAAAAAGTGCCTTTCATTAATTTCTAAGCATTATCTTTACAATCTTGTTTACATTATTTTTAACTATAGCAAATAAGTGACCCATCGTGACTTGTGCTGTGACGTGCCATTGTCACACAGACCAGCTCTGCTCCTGTGTGGGAGGGGGTTTTTGAGGACTCTGTTCATTTACATGGCTTTTGGCAAGACATTTCAGTTTCTTGTTGCTTGTGTGCTAGTTCCCACGAGTGAATGATCTCAGGAGCAGGAGCAAAAGCCTCCTCACCTTTAGTGTGACTACCGGAAAGAGCAACTCTGATACGGTGTGAGAAGGTGCTCACAAAGGTATGGATACTCGAAGATGGGCAAGTTGGAGAGCACTTTGAGGGTGGCTGTTCACTTGACATGTGATGTCAGTATTGGCTTGTCACAGGCTGCCTTCCTAGAAATGGCACTTTGAGCAGAATGACAGACACATAAGATGAAATAGTCAGGTGGTTTCACTCAGTTAAGCTCAGTTTTCTCTTGGTTCTGCAAACTGCCGATCATCTTCCAGTAAATTCTCTTTACACTAAATTAGCTCAAATCAGTTTCTGTTATTGTAACACAAGATTCCTGATAAAAAAATGACTGCAATGTAAATTAAACCTCAAAGTGTGTCTAATACTGAAAGTACTTTATGTGGGCTATGAAAGTCAGGTTTGTCATTATTGGCAGTGGGGAATATAAATACAGAATTGAAGAAAGAGTAGCTAGACCTCATGGTGCTAGATTAAAGTTGAAGACATCAGCTTGGATTTGTGTGGTACACTATAGCAATGATTAAGCTGAAATACTGAGACTTGGTTTCCGTACCTGCCGCCCTTCCAAAAGAAATCAAGTCTACCTGGCAAAAAGCCAGAGACAGGGAAAATACAGGTTATACCTAGAAAATCCTGTGAGGCAGAAACTAGGTTTTCAAAGAATGATCAGGATATGTCAAAAAGACTCAGCTGCCAAATATGAAGGGTGTCTTCCTTAATGTTCAAAATACTTTGAACATTAATAGAGAATCAGTCTTCAACCATAATATTAGGATTCAGGTGGAAATCATGAGCAGATACTAAACTAATCAGTAAAGAGTTGATGAATAGTGAGATATTAGCACGGTCTTTATGCATCTTCTTTCAAAAGCATATTATAAAAGGAAAAAAGAGAAGAATGAAGAAGACTGCCAGACACCATCTTAATCAAGGGACTTGAACATTTGAAAGGGTGCACGCCAGTTATTGTACAGACTGTCCCTCAGTATAGTTCTGTGTTACGCTTCCTTTTAAGGAACAGATTCTGACTAGAGGAGGCTAATGGAACACGGCAACTGAATGCGAGGCATGCCTCCAGGTTGGAGCCTGAGCTGGGGAGAAGTAGTTGTACTGTATAGGATACTCTTGGCACAGCTGACAAGATTTCACTATAGATGGTAGATTGTATAGCAGCAGTGTATTATATAAAACTGTCCAATTGTAACAATTATATGACAATTCCACTTTTAGAAAATACAGGAGTATTTAGGAGTAGGTGGATATCACATCTGGAACTTTCTCTCAAATGGCTCACAAAAGTATGTGACAGGGTGAATGATAAAGCAGATGGGGCCAAATGTTAACAAGTGGTGAATCTGGGCGTAAGGCCATGGATGACTTTTCTATGGCTGATGTAACAAATTGCCATAGATTCAGCATCTTATCTCCAAAGGTCAAGAGTCTGGCCTAGGGTAGCTGGATTCTCTGGGCAGAGTCTCACACTGAGTTAAAATCAAAATATTAGGAGGAAGCTTTCTGGAGGATTCCAGGAGTAATCACACTTGATCTTAGCCAGAAGGCCGAGAAGTGATCCCCAGAAGTAGTCAGCTTCCAACTTCATGGTTGCTGTTGGCTGAATTTACTTCCTTGCGGTTGTAGGACTGAGTTCTCCAGTTCCTTGGGGAGGTGAGGTGTGTGGTGGGGTGTCTGTGTGTCTTTCTTCAAGTAGCCCACCTCATACTTCCAATCTCTCTGCTTTAAAGAGTTCATGAGATCACATTAGCTCTACCTCAGTAATTCAAGTTACACTCCCCCTCTTCAAATCAACCAATTAGTAATCTTAATCACAGGTGTGAAATCCTTTGCGTCACGTCATTTACTGTAACTTAACCATGGATGTGACCCTCGGGGTTGGGAGTCCTGGAGGCCAAATATCTGCACCCCATAGGGTCACAGCAGTTTTCTGCATTCTTCTTATTACTTTTATAGAAAATTTAAACTACATCAAAATAAAATGCTAGCAAGGGTTGTAAGAGAACAACAGCAAGTTGAAAAAATGTAGCCGTTGCATTATTTATGTTTTCAGTGGCTTCATTTTCCCCTAATGGCCTGGGCCTGTTTTTCTCCCTCCTTCCCTACCAGGCCACCACCACATCAAGCAAGGCACCTGTGAGGTGGTTGCAGTGCATCGCTGCTGCAACAAGAACCGCATTGAAGAGCGCTCACAGACGGTCAAGTGCTCTTGCTTCCCAGGGCAGGTTGCAGGCACAACTCGAGCTCAGCCTTCCTGCGTTGAAGGTAAGACCTTTCTGGGCAGTTTCTCCGGTATTCCTAGAAGGCCTGAAATTCTGAAGACCTTGCCTGTCTTGCAGTCTTCGCAACCCTTAGAAACCTCAGTTGCTTTAAGGTCAGTCTCAATCCAAAAGTGAACTGAAGTCCAAAGCCAACAACTTCTTGGTGAGTACGGTAAGTGTTTTGTGATGTTTCTCAGAGACTGCATTACAGGGCTGTTGGAAACCTGTGTTTCAATGCCTTCTTGCTCACTTGACTCTGGATCTCACCCAGAAAAGCTGTTTTCTCCCCAGATGTCCTCTTCTCCCCTTCTTTATGCATTTTCCCCTCAGCAGCCTTGGGGGATTGGTTCTGGGATCCTCCATAGGTATGCCAACCTGCAGATGCTCAGGTCCCTTACAGAAAAGGACATGGTATTTGCATATCACCTATGCACATCCTTGTATATATTTTAAATCTTTTCCAGGTTATTTGTAATACCCAATATAATGTAAATACCATATGAATAGTTGTACTATATTGCTTAGAGAATAATGACAGGAAAAATGTCTGTGCACAACCAGTACAGGTGCTGTTTTTAAAATATATGTTTTCTCTGTCACTTGAGACTGGATGCCGAGCCCATGGGAAATGGAGGGCTGACTACTGTGCACTTAAAATGAGCAATCTGGCCCTTTTACCTTATGCTTAGCATGATAGAGCAATATCTTTTCTATTATTTCTAGCTTGTTATTTTCACAGACATCTATAAAACATTTCTGGAGCAACTTCCCTGAGAATACTTTGGGATCATGTATCATTCATTTGTAAACTCTAAATCCCCTAGCAGATCACTGTGCCAGTGGCTAAAAACACAACTGAATGAATGTTGATGGTTGGGGGTGGAAGCCTGGGATTGATTCCTTTTGTTGTTTCTGGCTTCTTCCAATAGGCATCTTGGTAGAAACCAGCACCTGCCCCCAGGAGAACAGACACGTGGGGTTATCCTTGCAGCTGCCGCGCTATGGTGCGGGTGCCCAGAAAACTCCCCAAGAGGGACCAGTGCAGGCTCGTGCATCTCACAGATGCGTGTCTAAAGGTCAGCAGTTAAAGCAAAAGTAGACACACATTCCTAACCCCAGATCTTAGGGTTGATTGTGCAATAATAGCTGACTTACGTCCCGCCTCCCCTGCCAAACACAAACAGGTGCCCATGAATTTCCGGGCTGTGTGGACACAGTGGTGTGTATCAGTTACCTGTAATGCAGGCAAAAGAAAGCAGAAAACTTCCTATATACAATTCCTTATCAGAAACTCTGGGGGCCAATGGGTTGATGAGTTCCTCAGATGCTCTCTTCTCCCCTTTTGGAGAGAAGATCCAGAGTTTGTTCAAGTTTTCTAAGGGTAACATACTACATACACCACGTATTACCTAACAGACCTATCGTGTTCACACATACACCGTAATCACAGACACTCTTGCAGCGCTATACATGAATATTCATGCAGGACGGCATAAGGGAGTATGAAGCACCTTATGTTGATTTAAGTCAGCTTTTGCTGTCATCTTACAGAGAGCCATTCCCTTTTTAGAGCTGTTTACATTTGGGGCTTATTGATAAAGGATGGTGGATCTAGAAAAGGAAGTGAGGATCTGTGATATTAAAAAAAATGAAATTTCAATGAAAATTGCAAGATCCATGTATCCTCAGCCAGGACAGTAGAATATGTTTATCTTCTTCCTAACTGATTCCGAATCATGTATATTCTGTTTGTTTTTTTTTTTTTTTTGGTTTTTCTCCGGTACCGGGAACCGAACTCACGACCTTGCGCTTGCCAGGCAGGCGCTTTTGCCGCTGAGCTAAATCCCCAGCCCCTCAAATCATGTATATTCTATCTCCTTGCTGTGTCTCAATCAGTTCACTTCTCCCCATCCCTACCGTATCTCCACAGTGTGGAGGCCAACATAACACTGTGCTGAGCTTACCGTTCCTAGTCTTCCATTTCCCACCCTGTAGCCAAAATGGTCCTTGTACACAAACAGAACTCTCTCATGCTCAAAACTACGTTGAAAATACTTTTCACTGTCTTTAGGAAAAAACTTGGGATTTCTTATTAGGTCTTACAAAACCTCACATGATCTGGCTCTGTCTCAAGTTCCCTTTCCACTCTCTACACTTCCCAAATGAAAACTGTCTCCATTCTCTCTCATCTCTTCATATGCTTTTTCCTGAATGATTGTCTTCCTTGTCGTGATACATATTTAGCTTCATTAATTCCTATTCCGTTTTCAAAAATCTGGCAAATTCTTATGTTTCCCCATCCTTCTAATTCATGACACACGTGCCATTTTGTAAAAGCTTGCTGAATGTCTACCTTCCTGCCACTCTGTAAGCAGCTTGTGGGCAGGGATGAGCTCCTATTTTCATCTCTCTGCGTTGGCTGGCCATGAACTAGATTTAGTATGGCGGAAGGAAGGTTGACTCATCATCACTAATCACAGAATGGTCTAGAAAGGTAACAACTGCACTTGCCTGCCTCTGTAGGTTTTACACTTCTCCTTAGAGGAACTTGTGAATCATAATATGAGCTATTTTTTATGTCCTATCTAGCCTAGAATGTTCCAATTTTAAAAAGTCTTATATATAATGCTTTATAGTATTTAGCATTTTTATTAGGGTTTAAAAAGTACTGACAGAGTAACAACACCTGTTACCATCTTTATCTAAGAAAATATGAATACCTTACCTGTATTAGTTAGGGTTTGCTAGTTGAATAGATAATATAAAAATACATATTTATGATTACATAAAGGATTTACTGAGCAGGTTTATTACAGTGGCCTCCTGTGGAATCAGGGGTGGGAGAATGCAAAATGGCCATCTGTGTGCTGGAGAGCGGGAGGAGCCAGTCGAAATTTGAAGACCTGGAGCCCACTGCAGAATCCAATGTGAGTCAGTGTCAGAAAGCTGAAGGATGTGTGTTGGAAGGCTGAAGAATCTGTGCTGGAAGCCTGTGAAGGAACTGGAGAAAAACATCCAAAGGCAATGGTGAAGACAGAGCTCCTCTGAAGAAGCAAAGGGAAAACTTTCTTTCACTTTCCCCTTTTGATTCTATCCAGGCTACAATCCTATTGCATGGTGCCACTCATGTCCCAGTTGGGTCTTCCTCCTCAGTTTGTGGCCTACATATTAATCATCCATGGAGACACCAGAATTGTCCTCTAGTAATCCACTAGGGATTTCTTAATGCATCCAAGCTGATATGCCATAATTAACCATCATGTTACCCTAAACTAGCTTGCTTTAAATTAAGACAAAATCTCCTTTGACCACCACCCTTGACATAACTATCTTTTGTCAGTAGAGTTTTTTGTGTATTTGTGTACTTGGAGATAAGTATATGGCCAGTAGTGGTAGATTTCAATATGAATGTGTTGTGTTGTATTTCATATGCATGAATATTGTATGTTTCAATGTGAATGTAGATTTCAATAGTATCACAATAGATATTTCTTTGTTCATCTGCTTTTTATTTTTGTCAGTATTATGTTGTAGAGATCTGTAGGTACCAATGGATTTAATTGGGATTTTTCAGCTGCTCCATATCATGGCATTGGATAGGTGATGATTCACTTAGCTATTCCTCTATTCATGGAAGTTTTGTTGTGTCTAGGGCAAAGCAAAGTCTTACAGCCTAACTAAATGACTTCCCTAGCTTCATAAGATCAGTGACAGAGACTGTTACGTGGCATCGGGCCAGGATCTCTGTAGCTCTAGAACTTTGTGATGATGCAAATGTTCTTCTCCTTTATCTGTATAGAGAGACAGCTCTCTGTGATGATGCTATATCAGTATAGTTATGCACATGTCAGTGTGGCTATCGTGAATATTTATTTATTTATTTATTTATTTGGGTTTTATTTCCTGTACCGGGAACCGAACTCACGACCTTGTGCTTGCCAGGCAGGCGCTGTGCCACTGAGCTAAATCCCCAGCCCTGTAAATATATATTTAAACAGGCAGTTGTGGCTGGAAGCTTCATATTGCAAAGTGCAGGCTATGCTGTATGTGTGTAACATTTATGGCCAGAGAATACCAACATCCTGAAAGGTCAGACTATGAGTGTGTCTTCCTCTGAGCATCCCCCACACCTAGCATCACCTGGCAAACGGTCAGTGTTCCATATGGTTCACTGGATCAAAGTCAGTGGGGTTGTAGTAAGTTCGAGCTTTAGTTAGGATTATGTCTGTTTTCTATCTTCCTGATCTTCTGTTTTTTATCTGAATGTTTCCATTAGGGCTTTTTAGCTTTACCTGTTTAATCTTTATCCCATAATAATTATGCAGTATCATGCTGTTAATTGGCATATGGGAAGACCCATTCTTTGCTGATATGTTCCTGTTATCTTATTTGTCAATAAGAGTAAGAGAATCTAAAATATAAAATTCACCCAGATTTACATTTAAATTAAAACAAAGGCAAGAAGATGTGGGACCAGGGCACTTATGAATGTTGACACAGAGATTGCAATTTTCTTTTTGTATTTTTGTTAATCCACATCACAGATGCTTATCTAGTATTTTCATTGTTTTTCTGTAAAACCATAGCTTTTATTAGTTAAATAGAAAAACTGGCAATTTTATCCCTCCTCCCCAAACTTTTTTTGGCCTAATTTACTTATGAAATACACTTGTGGTATTGAAATGCATCTTTGTTACATGCTCAGGGTTTGGGAGGAAGAATGGGGAATGATTTGATTGATACTGTGGTTCTTCAGGTCCTAAGCCAGATACCTGTTCAGCTGGTAAGCATGCTTCCTTTTGAATCCGGCCTGCACAAGTCTGCTTTGTGGTGGGAGCTATATTCTGCACATTTATCAAAATACAGCTCTATAGAGATAATGCTGAGTGGTTTCACGATAAAATGAGATACATGTGTAGTACAAGGAAGCTTAATTTTTTGTGTCAAAATGAATGCTTTCTCAACATCAGGTTTCAGAGATTAATAAGACAAAAGCTTCAAAAC